TTTTTTCAAATCATCATCAATATCTGAACTTTTAAGCATCCATTCTTCTGTAACTGATAGATAAATGAAATTTTTGTCAATATAAATAATTAATTAGTAATTTTTAAGTCATCTGAAAAAAATTAATCCACGCCACATTTTACTATAATTTCAGATGCTTGTAACTTGTAAATTAAATTAGCCAATTGGAATTACCTGATGTTAAATTTTTCACTCTATTGATTATTTAATACGTGAATTTATTAAATAATGCAAAAATATACAATTAAAAAAAAAAACAATTCCTGTATTTACCTTTCATACCAATAGTTGTAACTTTATAAATCACATTGCACTAATATCAACTAGATATTGGAAGTGTAATATAGCATTTAGAGAAATATAACATTACACAAATAAATCTTGATAGAATCTATAAGCAGAAGACCTGCATAGTAGAAATTCTAAGTTAGATAAAGTAGTACAGATTTCAATAATTACACTAGTTAACATCTGATCCAATAAAAAAAATCTGTAGCTGAAGGATGTGATTGAGTAGGTATAAATAAGTCCATCATACAAAGTCATATGACAACACCAACTTGACTTGGTAGCTAAATGAATTAAGAAAATTTGTCTTGTGAAACATCCAAAAACATAGAGAACTAACCTAGTGGAAGACCACAGTAGAAACTAGGTTTGTATGAACATCAAACAAGGGAATATGCAAACTAGATTGGGATGTAGCATAGCATACCTAGAGTAGCAATTCCAAGATTGATAATTTTTGAAAATTGTTAACAAAAAAAAAAGGTTTTGTATTATGGCTATCTCTTTGAGAAATTACTTAACTTGATATGTTATACGAGGTGTACAGAATAAACAGAAAAAAACTATTCATTGTCGCGTATCAAAATGGAATTTGGTAACTTTCGAATTGAAAATTTTACATTACATGGTTGTACAAATTTATAATCCCAAGTTTTAAACGTACAGTTCATAATATGTGATTCATAATCTGTTGTTTCGATGATTCAATAATCACGACTGTTATAAAGATAATATAGGTACCCTTATGAAAAAAAAGTACAGGACCGGCATGGGTTGGCGACGAGATTTAGTGACAAGGTCAAAAGCCGGATTTGCACGTGCAAGGTCCAACGTATTGGACGTATAAACGTGCCAATTGAGCCGTAAATGGTTCGGATTTTGTAGCAGTATGTGAATTTTCAGGTAAATTCACGAATCTTTCTCGTACTTTTACATACCATCTAAGATGTGCTAAACATAGCATGTACTGTACGTGTCATTATGGTTTCGTGCCATTCCTAACAACGTAACTAAACGTGACATTATTTAGCCTATATGTACAGCACTATTCCGCACATCTTACGACACCAACTAGTGCCATAGGGTTACTGTATAATTAATTCCCTGAAAGTTATTTCTCGCAAACCCTTACCCCACAAAATCAGCATAAGGTGTTTCAAATAATATTGCTGATATCAATTAAATATGACGATTCTGTCATTATCAAGTTAATAAAACAACCTTAATTTAGTAAAATTTCGACTTTATTATACTGTATCTAAATTGACAAAAAATTTTATGGGCAACTAAGGAAATTTGAAATATGATAATGTTTTATTTATCACGAGTTGATTTCACAATTACACTACAATATCCAAAGCTACTTAATCTTTTTAGATATCTTAACATAATGGCCAGAATATTTAAAACGTTTATTTTAATTATACGTATATATTTAGACTGTTTAATCCACATAAATTATTTCCTTTCTTAAATTATGAGAAGAAAATCGAAGTAATGCTAGATATATTTAAAATTTGTATAAATTTAAAACAAAGAGAAAAATGAGTTTGATTTAACTCTTAACAAAGTATGACTTATCAACTCTGAAGAATAATAATAATTGGATTTTCTGAGTTAAAGCTAAATCTATGTTATAGAATCAAGCTTTTCAAAGTTCAGAAAGCCTAATTCCCTTTTCTCTTGCAACACAAGTATATAGAGAAAAGCATCACTTTAGAGTATATTTTAAGCACAGTATATTATGAAGTAAAATACACCGGTTTTTTTTACTATGAGCACATATACAATGAGAAAGTATTATTATAGCCTTTAAACACAATCAGGATATTACCTTTAAATAACAACCTAGATAGATTAGAACATTTTTAAAATGTACATTAAAGTTTTTAAATTATTAAACTTGAGAAAAATTATATATTTACTGTTACTAGAATTTAAACTATCAAAATGAAAATTTTGTGAATTGTTATCGCATAGCGTTGCTTGTGGAATGGATAAAGAGTAAATGATAATCGAGTGTATTTGTTGCCTTTGTTTTTATCATCATAATTTTTGTCAATTTCTGTCCCATCACTAGCTATAATAGCTATCTGGGTTGTTATTTAAGGGTAATATACTGAGTTTAAAATATACTAAATGGTTGCAAATTTCCTTCTGATAAAAGTCATGTGAGAGAGTTTACCCAGGGTATTAGAACTGAATAATCATTCTCTACAACTTTATTTAGAACAGTTATTCTTTTTACTTCTTTTCCGTAGAAAACCGAAGGCAAAAATTTAATTAGTAAAAAAATAATTTTATTGGAAGTGACATTTTGCTTATAGTAAATTTTATAATGATTGCTATAATAAATACTATGGTAGATAAGGTAAATTACCAATTAAAGTTTTCTTTGATAGCATTTAAAACTATATTGAGGTCAAAATTATATTAATTAAATTATCTTTGAAGGGTAAAAATAATATTTAGGTTGAAAAATGAAATAAAGATTTGAATTTCTCTTGATAACATAAAAGGGTCAAAGGTATTTATTTAAAATCTATTAATCTGTGCGAAAAAAAAGAAAATATTATTCAGGTCAAGAAAGTGGGTAATTTAAATTCCTTGTCTGTTATAATGTTACATTAATGTCGAATATCAAAGCGCAGTAAATAATATCACATCTAAAGTTGTGCAAAAATTTGTTTGTTCCTTTAAATTTCAGATACATTAAATAATGAATAAATGTCAATTTAATAATTCCGTGTGTTTCTTTACAACCAAATTCTGCGGAAAAATTTGTGTAATTTATGAAAATCATAGTAAGTTACAGTATATGTTATGAAACGTTGCACCATGTATATACGAACGCCGACATAAGTTAATAAATTTCAAAGATATCAAAAACAAACGGATGCTGCCTCTCATTTAAAAATGGATGCAAACGAATTATACAAACTAGGAGAAAAGTATTATTACGGAATTGGTGTCGAAAAAAATGAACGTGAGGCATTCGTCTATTATCAAAAAGCCGCCAATATGGGTCATGTTGACGGAACATATGATGTTGGTTATTGTTATGACGAAGGAATTGGAGTTGAAAAGGATGAACATAAGGCATTCATTTATTATCAAAAATCT